TCAGGTAATTGACTTTAACACTGGGTTTTGGAAAGGCCTTTGCTCTCGTTCCCTTATTTTATTTATCAACAGGCACTACACGCACATGGGTAATTGGAGACAGCATCGTCTTCAGAGCCAGTCAGTCCGACCCTCGATGTTCAGCTACACAGTGCCTCCAGTGGTTTGGCGTGAGGGGAGCAAAACTAATAGAGCTAATTCCCATGCTCAACCGTCATTTGAAATCAAGGCCAGTGCCAAAAACCCTTGTCATTCATTTGGGTACAAACGACTTGTTCTCAACCTAAGTCAGGGAGCTACGTCGTAAGATTAAAATGTACCTCTGTACTGTTCGGGAAATACTCCTGACCACTCGTATTGTTTGGTCAGATATCTTATATCGATTGTTTTATTATGGGGAGACAAACATGGGGTTGGCAAGACCAACGTTCATGCTTTAAACAAGTTTGCTCACAGGGTTTACCACCAAATCGGCAATGCCAGTGCAATCATTCATGCACACAACATAAATGCATCAGATCAATCCCTTTTCTGGCGCGATGGTCTACACCTCTCCACTGTTGGCAATATAAAGTTCTGCGAGAATTTGCACAATGCGCTGGTCTTCTTTCACTCTATCCAGATGCACCTTGTTACCCAGCTTAATGTTTAGAGGTTTCACGCACCCCCGGGACCGGTTTGGCTATTTAGTCTGGTTAATTTTGTTTTTTGGAGGGGAGGGTTGGCAAGTTTCCTGAATGTCAACTTGTTTGGTGATATGTCTATTCAATTTGAGTAGGAAATGCCCCTTCTCTAGCCTGGGGACATCTTCCCAAGGCTAGCCTCCCAGTACATTGGGGAGGTGGTTGTGGGAAGGGACCCTCCCGTTGGGAGGCGGGGTCTGCCAGATTGCTACAGGTTAGCAATTTTTCCCAAATGGGGCCTCTTTTGTTTAGTTTTCGTTAAAGCACAGGGCTGTTCCGGGCGACAGAGCATTCCTTATTTTGACCAAAGTGTTGCTTTCTTGTTTCAAGTACAACCAGAAAACCGGTAAATCTGATCATCAATTAAAGCCCAGCTGGCAGTTTAGTTCAAACTTCATCTGATCTCTTACAGATTTTAATACTTTAAATCATGTACTTGTTCAGTGTTCTTGCTTGTTGAAAAAGTTTGGAAAAAAGTCAAGAAAATTAATTCGGTGGTGGACAACCGAAGAAATGGCAGAAAGTTGTCTCTGTGTTCTCATTTCCTCTGGAGCCATTTGATTAACGTGTTAAGGTTCATCAAAACAACACCGTGCCTTGTTAAATATGCCAACTGTGGCAGCACTTTCATAAAAGTAATGACTTCTGTGCAGCACAAAACCTCAGGGACCCAGCTCGCACAATCACTTCCAGATAGAACCTGGATCATCAAGTAGAAACTCGTCAAGTTCATCTACAGGTACATATTTCAAGCAATACAGTATTTATGAATATTTGGTTGAACCAGACGGAATTCTTTTCTTATGATCAAAGCATAAACAGAAGTAGCCTCCTAATACATACACATGCACATTATTATTAAAATAGTTTCTCACTTACATGGCCATCACCAATAATAATTTAGTAAAGCTATAAGCACACAAACGCATGAGAAACTTATACATTTTATCCTGTTGAGAAACGATTAATTTTTCAATGAAAAGTACCTTTACAATCAGCTGTAGTAATTAACCCTGGCCCCCTAGGCCTTTTTGTTAGGCACCATCCTCAATCCTTCAAAACCCTCTGATTATCCATGCAAAAATTGCATTCAGCAATTTTGCTGATGTTGGCCAACATCCGCGCGATTACACGTAAAAACCCTTCTGGGAAATGCTCCGAATGAAGAATCCAATATAATAATTATGTTCTTTGCTTTTACAAAGTGCTGACACACAGGAAAATTCCTTAAGCGCAGCACCGGTATAGCTATTGAATCTTGCTTCGCACACTTCGCGGATAATCGGAATGCGTACTTCGCGCAAACAGTAGCCTACTTAACATAAAATTACAACAACAAAGGCTATTGTCATGCGATACAAATGAACCTGCTAAGCTCCTCCTCCACTGGTAACTAAGGATTAACTTAGTTCGCGAATGTTCGCTGACTTCGCAAACGGTCAATTTTGAAGCCAAGCCTAAATTGAATAATTTTCAAAACTGGAACTAGGGAAATGACTATTCTTTTAATTTGACATTGTGGTCTTCATTACACTAAATTTAATGTAACCAAAATTGACTGTGTTGAGTTTTGATTTAAAGCAAAAAAATGTACTATGTTCACATACCAGTGCATTCTTGTACTGAAGAAATGCCAAAGAATCACAAGAAAGCTGCGAGTGGTTAAGGCATGAGGTCAAAATACAGACGGTTTAGAAACAGTTAAACGGTTGGTGTTAATCCCCCTTCATTCTGTTCGTCTTTTGATGTTGGACAGTTCAATTATTTGAAAGGAACCGTCTACCCTAGACTGTCTAGCTTCACAAGCAACCCTAACAACAATGGAGTTTGTGGCTGACACAGCTATAGTTGCGAACAAAAGATCCTTTTCAAGGAGAACTTCACTGGCTCCGGTCAGCCTCCCTGGGCTGGCCGTGAGGATTAGTGGTTAACACCTTGTGATAGAGACGCAAAATCAACTGCATGCTAGGCTACAGACATTTCTCTAGCTTCAGAAACGTTTTGAGTGGGTATTTCATTAAAAAAAAAGACATCGCCACTAGATCATTGTTCGTCTTTAAGCGTTTTTTAGACTGGAAAATAAATACGTTCATACGGGAGTGACGGAAAATTTTACCACCTCATTTTACCACCTGATCTATCGTCTCTGAAAGGAAATATCCACATACACACAATATGAATTCATTGGAACTTCAGTCACGTGTACCATATTCTTTGAAGGTAATAAAAAAGTCAAACTCTGCATCAAATAGTGCTGCAAGTATGTGTAAAGGTTCGGTTCTGTTTAGACAGGGCTCGGACATTTTTTGCCGAACTTTGGATTGGTTGGGGTTCGGACATGTACACACATGTACACGTACAATGCACACTGAGACATTGAAAGGCTTGCTACGATCGTGCCGCAAAGGGCTATAAAGTATTTCTATGTATAAAATTATGAATCTCCCATCTCTCCCCATCCACAAGCAACTTTGATTTGAGTTTTTTTTTTAAATAAACTGTTTCCCAAGAGTCTGTTTACGAGTAGATTCCATATAAAGTTACTGCCTGAGGTGTGACAGTTTCTGGCCGTGTTTTGTCGACCAGAAGCGGTTGTGTTGGGCTTGACTCAACAAAACGATCCTAAGATATGTTCAAATAGAAAAAACAGCATGCTCAAATACAACTTTCCTCCAGTACAGAATACAAGATTAAAATCAAATTTCGAGCAAATTGTGTTTGGGTTATTTTTGCAAAATAGACGGCTTTCGTAAACTATGAAAATGGCTTTTGTTGCATATCTGAAGAGGAACCTTTCCAAGGGCAGCGTGCACGTGATCAAAGGGGCGATTTTCCATCAGTCTCTTTTGGAGGGATAACAGCATTTTGTTTTTGAGATCTGGCAAAAATTCCATTACAACACGTTCGCACTACAATCAAAGCCTTCATGGTCAAATGAAAGGCAAGTTAGGCCACCGCACGAACAAAATCTCCTCGCATGCTGCGCTGAAGCACATCATCCACCGAACCACTTGGCAAAATTTTCATCCAGGGATGCCTTGGATCGAGCGCAAGTCTGACTGTGATCGGCATCCAACCAAATTTCGTTTTGCACTCCATTTACGAGACCATTGGCCTAATATGGAATGTCATTACCCTAATATGGAACGTAAGGGCGTGGCTATCGGAGATTGGCAAATAAAATAATAAATCTGAATATATATGAGCAACACAACTACTCAATACACTTGTTTTATCAGGAAGTTAAAACAGTCTCCCCATCTAAATCCTCCTGCGGAGGTGCAAAGTAAAGAGCTGTTGTTATGACTCATCCACCAGGCCGCAGAAGTCTATGATGAGGTAATGCGATGAGCTGACCATTGTTTACTGGAAGCTGCAGAGTGCAGGTGTACTCGACCGCAACGGTTTGGCAAGCCTCGTCGAAGCGTTCGTCTGTTCGATGTTGACCATCGGTTGGGCTTACCGTTTACAAAGCGTTGAATGCTTTCAAAAACGTTTGTATTTTGACTTCACGCCTAATTACGTCGTTTCAATGGGGAATTATAAAACATTGTTAACACCACTGATAAGTTGCATTTTTCAAGTGTGTAGTTATTGACCTGATGAACAATAGATTTTTACAACAGTTGGCAGGGGGTATCATGCACTGTGCAGACACTTTGATTACCGTGCATTAAACATTGTTACAACGGTAACAGTTTTACCATGGTGAGCATGTTCCATTCTTTTACTGTGAGCACTACTGGAGTTTTACCGACAAAACAAAAAATGAACCCATTTTCTATGGCTTTATCGTGTAATAAAATCCCTCCCCCTCCGTTTATATGTGGCGTATGTGTTGTTACCTTTGGTAAATTAGAGATAGCTGTAGTTGATGCACTAGTTGTGGTTGGAGTTGTAGCTGGTGAAGTTTTGCTGTGTGATTCCTTCTTAATTTGCTGCTCCACCTTTTTGTCTTCACTGGTCGCCATTCTGTAACTACAAGTCAACAAACTGATAAAGTTGAATACTTGAACATGAACTTCACTCACCTCACAATTAACTGAGTTTATCTACAAAAGTAAAGTAACATTCTACATGTCTACTGATATTCTACTTTTATTTCATATACATCACATACATGTAAATGTGCCTCATATCTCATAGTTTTACATGCAGCCCGTCCAAAGACTCACAAACATGTAAAGGATGGAGGATTCAGCTTTCTACCATCCATACACGTAAATCCCAATAGGTGTGTACAGTTACATGTACGTATATCACAGAGGTAGCAACAAGTCATTTCTTACAAGTCCAAGCCAAGTCAAGTCGCATGTCATTATATGCAAGTCCAAGTCAAGTCACAAGTCATTAGGTCCAGTCACAAGTCAAGTCACAAGTCATTTGGTCTAAACACAAGTAACAAGTCTCTTTGTCCAAGTACATGTATAAGTCTTGGGCAGATTTTCAAGTACCAGAGGCCCTTAAGTTATTTAGATTCAATAGCCATTTGTAGCCAGATATTACATGACCATGAAAACGATGATCTACAGCGCAGAATGGCTGAAAATCTATTTCCTGTAGGCCTAGGCTTATTTGTGGGTAAGACCCCCCCCGGCACACAAGTCACAACATTACTGCTTATCATGGGGTTTGTGATGCTGCACGAAATTACTCATTGTGTTTGGGCCATCAGTGACTGCGGATCCACATATTTTACAAACAGCAGACCGTTTACTTGCTGTTGAATTGTAATCGTGGTATGCGAAATTAACCAACTGTGGATGGAACAACACTGCTAGAAGCCACCATGGTTGCTTGTCACTGATGACATAATAGGCGCTGTTTATCCCAGTCACGTGTCAACGCAATGCAACGTAGCAGCATGGTTTGCATTCTGCCCTGATTTACAGCTGCAGCTAAGTGAAATAGAAGCCAAGCAAGCCGAAGTCCGTTTTTTATGAACATGTAACCCCGTCCCAAAAGAGGTCTTGGGTTACAATTTCATTTCTTTATGACTATGTTTTCCTTTTGCATGTTTAAATTGTTCTTTCCTTAGCTTTTGCCTTTTCTACTGGTAAGTAGTGTTCCAGTGGTGAAATTTGATCTATTGCCTGTTCCTTTTGTCAAATAGCCTGCTCTTTCTTCAGTTTATCTTTAATGTTCCTGCTTTCCTAGAAGATCTTAGGATGCTCTTTGTATCCACTGCCTTTAATCTCTGACTAGTACACCAGCGTGTACACTCCCAGTAAACTTTTCAGGAGATCAGCAGGATGTTGGGACACTTAATCCCTAATTGCTGTTCACACCTTACCCAAGCTGTGAAAGCCATAAACTTCTGCTGAGTGCTCATCTGTCCACAATGTAGACACTAAATGACCAATCAGTATTGGAGTCGTATGACATTTGTTAAGTTGTCCAATGAGAGCTGGTCATGTGGCAAGGGCATGTTCCGGGGGGGGCAGTTTGCCCCAGAGTTTTGGCAAGCTTTGCATTCCAAACTTTGCCATCGTGCTGACTACATACTCGCCACATCTTGTCCGCACTCTCCACTATTTTTCTTTGGACTGGAGAACCCCAAAATCTACGTCTTCCCCTTAAGTTCACAAATGTTGGCTCTCTATCTTAGTTACTGAACTGCACATTCTGAAAGAGGGTCTGGAGGGGAGTCTCTGTAGTCCACCTGAAGAGCTGTCCGCAGGCATCCCAGCCACTGAGCTATTGTGACTTGCAGACACAGCACAAGTACACCAAGGCATCTGTGGCATTAATCACCCGCATCAACCTTGCAAGATCCTTAAGTATTCCTTTGTGTTACATTTCTTCTGAACTTTTGCTCTTCACTTTTGTCAACTGGCTACACAACATGACAAACTCCTGTTCTCCCACCTTGGAATGACTCGTTGCAACTCATCTCTACATCTAGAACTTTGGCGCCAATTTTTTTCCTTGAGCTCAAAGTGTATTCTAACTTAACTGGATCCTGCATTTTCTGTAAATCTCCTGTTTTAATTTATAGCCACCTGAATTGGTGTTCTCTGGATTCACTTCATATTTCTCACATTGATTGGCTTGTCTATTCCCTCCAATAAAGCAAAATCTCTTTTGCACGTAAATCCTGAAATGTGTGGGGTCAAGAGTTTTTCGAAAGGGAATTAGATTAATATGAAATTTGGTTCCTGCTATTTTGAAACGTGAACTACCGGTTACAGAGGCAAGGTGTAAACTGAATAGCTTAAATTAAAAATATACGGGGCCAGTCGAGTAGCGTCTGACTTGGGTTAGTAACAAGTCATGTTTTGCAAGTCCAAGTCAAGTCACAAGTCATTTTTTGCAAGTCCAAGTCAAGTCATAAGTCAAAGCTGGTATTTACGACTCAAGTCAACAAAATAGCGACTCAAGTCCGGCTTGAGGCCAAGTCACTTGACTCAAGTCAGCAACTCTGTTGTATCATGTTTACACTGCAAAACTGACATGAAGGATGGTGTATACGTCTGTTAATTAAATGAGACAAGGAGTTTCATATTTGCCTAAAAACTGTGAAGAAAATCCCTCATCAAGCTGTGTTTGCCACTTTTATATGAAAAATCCTGTGCAGATGCACATGTATGTGGGATAGTAAGCTACAGGTAAAGTGGCTCGCTTTGCAGAACAATCAACAGTACAAGTAAAATGAGTGAATAGTACAGTCCCCTAACATGGCGCACTTAAGCATTTACATGTACCTCATCTTTCGTCGTGCATTTGCCGAAAAACATTAAACTTCATCCAGTAAAATACTTGTAGCTGCAATACTACCCTGATAATACATGTAAATGCTGTTGAACCTACATTGTATTTGGTGCGAAAGGGCTTATTTTGGGACCCATCTTAAAAATTTAAATGTGTCCTGTACTTGAAAACAATTGGAAAATTGGGCCAAAGTTTCTTTGAAACTTTTAGGTGGGTACGTACAGTACAGCAACCTTAGGATTTTAATATGAGAAGATTGATAACATTTCACTTACTGTGAAATTGGAAGTGAACGTGTTGCTCTAGCAAGGCAAGAAGGTCGAAAACTGAAACGTCGAAACACACCGCACATTTAGGAACAGTGCTATGCAAGGATACATCAACAACATATTTCATGCAAAGAGACACATGTACAATTTTTTGTACATAATGAGGAATTTGGATGGGTATAGATCTCTCTCACAGGACATTATATTCATCTATGGGAAAAGCATAACTGCGTATTCAGTGCTAATTGGTGCATTTGCATGTAAATTGGACCAGCTAACCACTGCCAGCCGGGCAACCCATTTGGGGTACATAGGCTTTATATGCAGAGCTGGGGAGCCCAGAACTGGGACAAAAGAGTTGGGCCTTATAGCAAAAGACCATGCTCAGCACAAAAGACTGAGCTGCTGGGCATTACCAACATTTTTTCACTCTCAATAGTGGAGATAATCCAGCCTTGTTTTGAAACAGTTTACCAAGGTTTGAGGCATTTAGAGCGAGTGGATTACCACTGCAGACAAAAACTCTCGACCATAGCACCACTGCATGCTAGTCTGGCCCATATTGAAAAGAGGCCAGCAGTGTACTGTGCCGGGAACAAAAGAATCTTACATAACACTGCACAATGTGGGCTCTTTTTCCAAGGCTGCAGGCCAGGCTGAAATATTCAGGAGTCAATGAATTTTACCTGTCACTTTAGAGTAGCACCCAAAGAGTCCTTCATTTTGGTATAAACGACCATTAAATGAAATGATGAATTTTTGAAGAATTTTGAAAACGGAAAATCTTGAAAATGACCCGGCATCTTGTCTTGCTCAAGAAAAGTCCACTCGGCAGTAAGTGCTTAATAGGACCCTTGGCATACTTCTCTGTCGATACTGGACCCTCACCCAAGAGACAGGTTAAATGCATGACTTTTAAATGCCCTGACTTCTGCTACATTTTATTAGCTTAAATTTCACCAGTATGCTTACTTCTTACGTACATGTATGTGCCAGACTACCTGCAGGTTTCTATTTACTGGGAACTTATTTTTCACTACAATTTAGGATGAAAGTTTCATTGGCCAGACAGACCCTTTCTCAAGGCTCCCACTGCTTTAGAAGTGTAGGGCTGAGGGGTTAAATGCCAGTCAAAATCTCTACATCTAGAAAATTAATGCAACAAACAGTTTTATGGTGGCAAAACTATTTTTGAAATTGTTTGGAAATGTACGTGCTCTGCGAATTATTGGCTGTTTCGGACACTCGCCGAAACAGCTTTTGTTTTTCTAAAGATTAATTGGATTTTTGCAATTTCATAAAAAATGCATTCTTTTAGTTATGTTTAAGGGAGGGCTTTTTGCAATTTTGCCAATATGGCATTATTTTTGTTCTGTTTTTAGCTTTTTTTTTCAACTTGGCAAAAAAAGGAATTCTTTTTTGTGTTTTTTGGCTTTTTCGCTAGATAAAAAAAAGACATTCTTTTGGGGTTTTTTTTGGCCTGGGGGCTTTATCGCAATTTAGCAAAAAAGGCATTACTTCTGTTATTTTGGGGGGTTGCAAGTTGCAAAAAGGAAGTTCTTTTGGTTTTTGGCTTTTCACAAGTTTCGAAAAAAGGCATTACTTCAGTTCTTTTTTTTTCACATTTTTAGGCAAGTTGCAAAAAAGACATTCTTTTTGTTCTTTTTTTTTCATCTTCTTCTGATGATGATGACCCAAATCCCCTTTGTTTTGAACACATTTCCTCCATCACCGACTTTAATCCCTTAGCAACTTTGGATCTTCGTCAAACTTCAATCAATGAAAGACCCTTGTCTAAAGATGTGCATGGAACATTGACGTCATGATGACATCATCAAGTAATTTTTTATATTGACTTTGCACACGTTTTCATGACAGTATTTTGGTGATTTGGCGATTTCAATTGTAACCAAAGTTACAGCTAACAAAGACCCTGATGCAAAAATACGTCCAAATTTATGACATGATTACGTCATTACGTGATTTTATGATAATTTT